TAAGTTAAATCATAAATATATTGAATATGTTATATTTTGTATCACTGGCAATAATTCTCAAAATAGTTAACTGCACACAATATTATATATAGTGCAAAATTGTTTAATTTGATTTGGAGTCACTTTTACTATAAACAAATGATAAAATTCCAATGAAACATGTTACAGCGAAATTTTAATGATTTTTTTTATATGAAATTGCTTTGTGTGAATAATACAAATAAATAGATAGATGAGTAATGGTAATATAGCGAGATTGTTTATTGTTAAAATTTAATTAATTTTCAAAGTATATAGGCATATCATGATTATCCATATATTTTTAATTAATTTATAGATAATCATATGATCTAAATTAAATCATGTTGCTCAAGTGGTATCCCATTTGACATGAAAATAAATAGTATGGGTTTTAATTTTATACAAATTCATAAAATTGTTCTAATCTTATTTTAAGAAAGGAAATTTAGTATATTAGAAGTTTAGGCTGCAAAATAACAATTCAACCGTTCTCATACTACTACACAATTTATTCTTTTTTTATAGGTTATTTTGAAAAACAAAAAATATTTCTATACTTTATGGGCATTATGAGGAAAAATATTATCGATTTCAATTTTCTTACTTATATAAGTTATAGTTTGTCTTTTACATTTTTATGATCTATTCTAATTTTTTGAATAATTATTTTCAATTAATCAATCACAAGAAGTACATTACATAATGGACAATGTCAAATGTATTGAAAGTTGAAAAAATAATATTTAAAAGTAATAGTGAAAAAGATTGCATGAAAATTTTGGTTGAGAAACCTTCATTATCTAAGTTAGTCTTGTTTATTCGAAATCTTTTTTGTTTGGGGGAAGATTGACAAATATGAACAATAAAACTAAATTCAAATCTTTGACATGAATAATTGCATATGTTAGTTTACAATTTTGTCTTCTTATCTTGTTGAAAGAGACCATTCTTTGTCATTATTTTTATTGATAAAATATAGCAGTTATAAGTCAACTGCCATATTTTAGCAAAGTTTTTATATATTTTTCATATTATCTTCTCCTTTTCCAGTAAAATAGTTTTTGTATGCTTTTTTTTTCTTCATTGGATCTTGTTAATTATATATTTTCGTGAGTTATAAAGATATATCAATATTCAAGTTTTGGTTGAATTTCAATTTTTTTTTTTTCATTCAAATACTATATATATTATATTTTTCATGAACCATTACACACATATGGTACACAATTTGATTTAGATTTCAATAGTCTTAAAAGATAATTTAAAAACATTAAAGCAATTATTTGGTAAATTGTATTGTTTTTTTATTTTTTTGCTTAAGAAATAAATTGATTTAAATTAAACATTCATATTATGTATAATTAGCGATAGTTTTGGCCTC